ATTATATTTAGATAAAAATAAGTCTAAAACTGCCTGTAAATTGATAAATGAAATGGCGTCACTCGTCTTAAGAATGAGATAAAGTAAATAAACCTAACCTAAACAACCATTAGGTATTTCTGTAGTCAACTGTACTCACCTCAACTTCTAAAGACATATAATGCTTCCCATAAAACAACAGCACAACGCAAAAATAACAAAAAAAAGGAAATGGCAAAAACCGACAACACAAACCTCTAATTATTTAGAATATAGGGATGTCTCTGGCTGGACCATCGACCTTTTTTAGATTTAGTAGGCTGGATATAGGATGAAATAAAATTACTTTTTCTTACAAATCAGAAATTCTTCATGAAGTGTTGGCATCTACAACATAACCCCTTTTGTGTAATATTTATACCATATTTCAGAAACATTTTCAGTGAAATATTTAACTAAAATATTTCAGAAACTCGTGTGTGAAATGTTATATGTTTAAAACGTTTGAAATATTTCTGAAATAATGTATGCTGTATGGGTAGTTGCCCTTGTTTTTTTTTTCTCTCCAAGAGTAAGAAATCTCAGTCTTGATAGACCTTCGCAGTAGCACAATACGTGTCAGTTTCCACCTTTTCCTGACAGAATCGGCATAATGTCTCTTCTATCAGACCGATATTATACATATGTTTGTTAAGCCTATTCTTCCAATTATAGCTCAGTAGATGCTCGGTGAGTTTAGACGATGGTCCTTTTAAGAACTCTTTGGCCTGTCTGTCCTGATGAATTGTCCACCATTCGTGAGATATTTTAAACAACCACTGTTTTGTACGTGTTCTGATAGCTATCTTTGTGACACCATAGAAGGGATCTGGGCCAATAAGAGCCTTTGAGGTTCCTTCTCGGGCTAGTAAATCAGCCCCTTTATTGTCCTTATGTCACCTGTGGCTTGGTTCCCAGGCTAAGGTTAGTCTGTTTTGACTACCCAGCTGTTAGGCCTTCCAAACAGTTCCACACAAGCTTTGAGTGTACCAGAACTGAGTGCTTTTAACGTCGCTTAAATGTCCGAGTATATGACAATGGTTTTTCAATTTACCTTATGTCTTAAAACCTCTTTTGCGCAGTGATGTATTGCTGCTTTTTCTGCCTCGAATACTATCGCAAGTTTACCTAAGCTCAGTGAGATTCTTGTCTTATATACTATTTTCTATATATACCTATTCCTGAACCTTTATGGATTTTGAAGTCGTCTGTATACCAGGTGAATTCTGCGTGAATAGGACGATTTTTTTAAGCTCCAGAAATTAGCCATTTAAAAAAATCAAACTTGGTACGAATGTCAGGTGTTTTATTGCCAATTAAAAGAAGCAGGAACAATTTTCTATTGCGATCATAAGCGTCTCATTAGGGGGAAGGCAATGGACTTTTCCGTATTTTTTTTTATCTGATGTGTCAACACGACTTTCCTGTCTACTTATTACAGGCTTTTTCCGGGTATTTTGTACAACCTATTGTACCTCCCCTGTAAATGTTTAGAGGATGAACTAAATACATACATATTTGTTGACTTCAAACGTGCTTTTGATTCCGTCAACCACTCCTTGCTCTGGCTCAAGCTGTTTAATTTGGGTGTTAGTTCTAGAATTATAACTGTAATACGTAAAATGTATGAGAGTGCAGAATTCCGTATTAAATGTTCTGGAGGATTTCTAAATCCTTTGAGCTCACATCTTGTGTTTTACAAGGCGAATCACTAGGTCCTCTATTTATTTTAGATATTGATAACTTCTTTGCAACCCGAGGCGCTAAAGGTGTTAATTTTGATCACAACTTATTGAATCATTTAACAATTAACGTTGCAAAACAAAAATTATTAAATTTTCCAAAGATGATTTTAGATCTTGTGTATTTTATCAATACCTGGTGATTTCCAATTTTTAGTATTTTGGATAACTACCTTTACATCATTTACAATGATTTCGCTTTGTTCCATTAACTCCAAATTTCTGAATTTTCGTTTTTTCTTCATCTATCCAGCTTGCATTTTGTGTTATTTTCTCCTATTGACTAGATATTTTTCCAGAATTCAGTCATTTCCTCCATATTTATCCCTTTACCTGCTTGTTCTGGTTTCTTTCCTAGCGTTCTGTAAAATTTTCTTTGATCGTATTCAAACATGTTATTGTCCACTCGTCTTTTGTAACTCTTTTTAAACCTGCATATTCTTTTTGTGTATACCCTCAATTTTTGCTTTAGCGTATCTAATGTTTCACTAATAGTGTTTTTGTTGTTATCATTATTATTATTACATACATTTTCCACACACATCTTACTCGAAACATTTTTTAATATATATTTATGGCTAACGAAAATACTGAAAAATTAAAATTTCACAATTTTCCTCAAATTTTTTCATTGCGGCGCATTTTAGAGAAATCATCTATGGAATAAAATTTATAGAGAATGATATCGCAACAACTTTTATTTGAACAATTTTCTTAAAAATTTTAAATTTACACTTTTTGTCCAATTTCTCGAATACGGACTATTTTAAGAAAATTATGTATAGGACAAAAATTACAGCAAATAACATAACAAGCAACCTTTATTTGAAAAATTTTCTTCTCCAAGCGTAAATAATATATATTCCATAAAGTAGAAACACGACATTCTATAAAGTACCCCCCAGATGTTCCGACTATGCACAAAATTTAATCATTTCACCATAGGATGAATTGATGCTTTAATTTAAAATTTGGAGTTTTTCTCTGTATCTGTTCATGAGTACACGCGCCCACGCACACGCATACACACATCTCCACACACACACACACACTCCCACACCCCTCCCCTCCCACACACACACACACACCATCATTCACCCATTCATCCAAGCACGCACGCACGAAAAATCTTATTATTGATGCTTAATAAATAAAAGCAATATTTCTGTTTGCGGTTCTCTAATATTACAGGTACAAGCACAATAATCAGAAAAGATATAAAGTTATCCCATGAGTATTCGACCCAAAAAAAAATCTATAAAACATATTTCTTTTCACGTAGTAATAATCATTAAAACGGTCGCGCCAAGCCAACCCTGGGCTTTGTTTACTCCTTACCCGCGGTATGAAGTCTAGCGCTGGCCATATAGACAAACGCCATGCTTCGAGAAGCTACCAGAAAAAAACGGTACGTGGCCGTTGAGTCATAAAGATGGGATTCTTGGACATTCGAGATCGACTAGAAACTAGTGGTACAGAGCTGGCTTTATATAAATAGCGCGAGTTATCGACGGACGGGCAGTTTCAATTCAAGTGTTGGACATAAAAGATAAATTGTAATAAATAAATTAGAATTGTAAGTTATAATAGTGCCTAAGTATTATATAAATTAATTAGTAAGGGGGTGGGTTGGCTCAGTGGTTAGAGTCATGACTTTGAGATCGGAAGGTCTCAGGATCGAATCCCACCGTTGGTGTTTTAAATAAATAAATTAAATAAACGTTACATTGGTGTCTGAAGTTGGATTGTAAATAGTGGACAAAAATGGCAAAAAACTGTGTGATTTAAAAGTGACAGAGTTATGTCGGGAATTAGAAGAGATCGTGAGCTGGAGACGACAGGGAAGAAAGTAGAACTGGCAGAGCGGTTTAAAGAAGAATTGAATCGGTGAGTGAAAGAACAATACATATCCAAAATGACCATTTTGAGAAAAAACTGTTTTAAAGGAGAACTATGGGTTATTCGGCCTAATTATGTATTGTGAAGTTATAGAATTTTTGTTAACCGATAATAATACGTACATGAATTTCAAAATAAAATTATGCAAAAAATGGTATTTGAAACAAATGACTTGCAATTATACTGTTCTTTCACTCAATTTAAAAAAATGCTTTAAATTTTTTTTTTGTAGCTCTATTGATTATTATTTAACAAACTTGTTTGTAATTTTTTAATCAGAATCTTCATTTTCTTTCCGAGAAATAATATATGGTAGTAAAACTCCAGGATTTCATCACTAAAGTAGAATAAAAGTATCTCTATATTGGCTATCTTCTTTACGTTAATAGGGACAACTTCTGAGTATCTTTTCTAATGGCGAGCATACACGTAACGGTCTACCGGAGAGGTCTACCTGTGCAGGTGAGCCTGCGCAGGTCAGCTTCATGTCGTAGCGTATATGTCACTTGCGCAGGCACACCTACACAGACAGACCGTAGAGTGTATGCCCGCCATAAGGGTAAGAGCAGATTGGCATTAGGTTTGATCAGTCTAATGCGCCCCACATATAAAAGTGTGCGAGAGAAAACCGCCTATGAAGGCACTTGTAGTAACATATCCAGAAGTTTTACCAATGTATGTAAACTGGCCATACTGCGGAATGACAAAATTAGCTTTTTGTTCATTAGCTGATTTAGAGGTTTTTTTTTATGAAATTGCGACCACCAGTTTTTGAAATCTGTGTCAAATTTGTCTACGAAATGACATGGCTACTGAGTGAAAAAACAGTACGTGCCCCGTACTTGTACTGTTTTTTCACTCAGCCGAAAATTGAACAAGCCCCCATCGCTCGTATGATGTTGTTTGGTGTATTATTCTTTCGCTATGTGATAGTCCTATGAATTTTAAACAATTTGCCTATCTCAGTTAAAATTACCATTTTTGGCGCTTGTACTGTTCTTTCATTCACCGATTCAATTAATAAGTGAAGGTTTGGATCCGGAAACGTATCTATTTTCGGATGATGCGTCTATAATTTCTTTGTTAGAAAGTCAAATATCAACTATACAAATCGATATTTCTTCTATAAAAAATGATATTTCTTCCTTAGAAGAAAAGGTGTCTTCTGATGTCTTCCGTGAAAATCGAAATCTCTTCTTTAGAAACTAAAGTTTTTTTGATATCTCCTCTTTAAAAAATGAAATTTCTTCCGACTTGGAAAACAAAATGTATATAAAAACTGAAATTACTGCTGATATTTCTTCCATTAAAAATAATATTTCTTCCTTAGAAGAAAAGAGTTTTCATTAGCAAAATATAATTTATTTAAATTGTCTACATTAAAAAAAATTAAACATAATACAAAAACCACAACTAGTTATCTTCACGACTTAAGTCTTCCAAAAATAAAATGAATCTCTCTCCATCCTCTGATTTTTTTAAACTTAGTTCTTCAATCCGTTGGCGCCTACCGGCAGTAATTAAGTTTAGTTCTTTTATAATATTTTCAACTTGCTTGTTCAATTCAATAAAGAATGCAGGAGCTGTCTCTGAAAATTCTTTAAGCTCCATTAATTTCTTATCTCTAATGATTTTTAGTGTTGCGTTTTCTTCAGTTAGTTGTTTTATCTGGTTAACTTCTGATGACTCACTAGATGATAATATGTTCTTCATTTGAATGTCCCAATCGGATAATGCCTAAAAGTTTTACCAAAAAATGTAGCTGATAACAGTAGTTATATATTTAGGTGGGGAGGGGGGGTGGGGTGGTAGAGTTGGCGAATATTTTCGTTAGAAAACCAGGGCACGCTCCTTCATTTTCTCATTATCATGACTTTCCTTTACAATATATTTGTTAAAGTAAAAAATAAAACTATTATCATAAGTAAAGGTACGAGTAAATGAAGAAGTTAGAATATTCCCGAAAAGTCTCGAAATGTCATTCCTTGTCAAAGAAAAGTCCAGATTTTTCAAGAAGGTTCCAGAAGGGAAGGCAAGCTATATAAGGCGACGACCTGACGTCAGAGTTTTAGTTTTATGATAGACGTTAAGGTTATCAGTTAAAGATATTGTGTCAGTTGAGTTGAGTTATTGTAAAAGTTGAATCAAATAAATTGTGATACCAAAAACCAGCGTAACACTATATTACCTGTTTTATATCTTCATCTACATCTTCTTTATGTTGATCAAATTGTTTTGATTCCAATAGGTACTTGTTTATTTCACTCTGCAGAATTTCCAAATCTTTCTTAACATTCTGCATGTCAATAATTTTCTGTTTCAATGTAACTTCGAGTGTTTCACATTTCCTTGTTGAATGGATTTCAATATCCTGCTTCATTTTAGCTATTTCACACATTTCTTGCAAAAACTCATCTTTATAAAAACCGGTCTCTTTGAGTAATAGTTTTTTTAAGCTTGGATTTTTTATGCATACTTCCATTAGCGACCGGTTCCATTGGATAACTTTTGATTCCAACTACAATAAAATAATATTGGGCGTGTTTGGTTAAATTGATAAATATTTTTTTCTACGATCACTATCCAAAGTAGGCTTTTGCACATTCAAATCTAATTTGACATTATTGGCGCACACATTGGCGCACACGTGCGCCAAAGTAACTTTAGCACACGCTTGTCTATTTTCATTTGAATTAAATAAAAGAAAGCTAATCGGTATTTTAAAACAAAATGTAGGCCAATCTAAAATATTTTAATTGACTTCCTAATATTTTAAATCATCTAACAGTATTTTCCGTAAATAATTAAATGATTAAATCATAAATATTTACGACATAAAACATTTTTTTTTTTTCGAAGAGTAGGATTATGTCAAATAAATGTACAAAATTATAACAAAAGAAGGTAACTTATTTCTAAAAAAATTAACTTAATTATAATTTTGGTGTGATCGTAGAAAAAATCTTGTGTGATTCGAGCAGAAAGTTCTTTGGCAGTTTCGACCGATTGCCGCTCTCCGCTAACGCGTCGTGCGGCCACTTTCTGTCTCAACTGTCAAAATGCTACTTTCTGCTCTTAATACACAAATAGCTATTTTCTACACCTACATGAATTTAGCTATTTTACGCACATACTACAAAACCGTCCACCAATCTAAGTTCATATTTGGTCACCAGGCTATTATTATTAAAATTATTATTATTAAAATTTTAACTAAGTGATAATTCTGTCAAACTAATTATCAGAACATTTTTTAGCTATTGAGATTAAATATAATTGAACATGTGAAGAATTGATAAATAATAGCATTTCACAAGATACTCGTTTATAAAGGGTATTAGTATATTTGACCGACAATGCTCTACCCCAGAGAGTGAATTTTGATATAGGAACATGCAACCTTAAAGGGCTTAGTTGTTGAGATACATGTGTCAAAAGTTAGAAATCAAAATTTACCATGCTCTTAAAAAAATTGATATTTTGACATAAATTAATTTTAATAAATATCACCAGTTGCGCGCTATCAGGGTTAGTAGAAACTTTTATCCCCCTATTTTTTACGCCACTGGAACTAATTAAAAAAAATAAAAATATTCTGTTGATTTTTAGTTAAAAAAATAATAACCTTTTTGGAGCTAAAATGAATGGTGTAGAAACAAGTCTGCAAGTATTTAGACAATTTACAAATTAAAATTTGTAGTATAATTTTACACTAGTCGTTTTGCTAAACAAGTATTTGCTTTAATCCATACTATTAATTCAATTTTAAATAATGCCTAAGCGTAAATAGTTGAAAAAGGAATACAACATGCTATTTATGGGTTTATTATTTGAGACCAGTTGCTGCATTCTACAGTTGAAGAATCTCAAAATAGATATATTTAAAAAAATATTAGAATAGTTGGGCCCTTGCTCATTTCTTTGTGAAAATTCTAATTATTCTATTCTAGAATACTAAAATTGTTAATAAAACAAGGTATGAGACTTTTAGTAAGTAACAATATATATTTAAAATAACAGAAAAGCTATCAAAATTCAAACAAATGTAGGTATTTCAACAAAAATAAAATTGACAAAATTACAATAGTCGTTCAAATTGTCGGCTGTTTACTTGGTAGCACATTTTACACTCTACACCAATGTCTCATTGAAAAACGTCCATTTGAGAATAACTCTGCTTTAGAATAAACGAATTCCACCATAGCTTGAATTCTTGCTATTATATTATATTCAGTATCGACGATGGTTTTCTTATACTTAAGATCTTAGAGGCCAATATCGGGGTCCACCCCAATCCATGTGTCTCTAAAACGTCTGTTTAAGAAATTTCTAGCACTTGCAGTAAAATGAACAGATGCCCCGCATCGTGTTAAAACCACATGTGTTGTCTAATATTTAACGGTACATTTTCCAACAATTCATCTAACACTTCTTCCAGAAACCGTGTATAAATAACTTCATTTAATTTATTTGAAAAAAGGCAAGGTTCGATTAAACAACTCCCAACTATTCTAATGAAAATGTATGTTGAAATCGACGCAGATTTCCATTTTATTCATCCCAAACGTGAATTAAAAATTTATACCCTGGTAAAATTGGCCTCGTCGGTATATAATACATATTTTGTAAAATTTTGATTTTGTATATACTTACCGGAATATATCCAGGTTCTAATGTTGAACTCTGCTAAATTTGTAAATGTATAAGGATGAAACATTTTTGTTCTTTTAAAACTTTCCATGAACATGTTGGGCATCAGGAAAACATACTATATCTCTCTACCCAGAATCTGACAGAATGGTAGAAAGACACACCATGGTCCATAACCCTTCCCGTTGGCTCGGACCAGATCCCAATAATCAAGTTATTCGGGACGAATAATTAGAAAGGAGGAAGCAATATTATCATGCACCCTGCAGTGACCTGCGGCTGTTATAGGTAAAACTACGAATAAAAGAAGATAGAAAAGTCTAGAAATATCTGGAGGGCGGAATATATTTTCATTCCGTGGCTATAAACATCTGGAACTTTCGAGAAAATCAAGAAAGCTATATAAGGCATTGAGTTTGACGCCACAGTTCAGTTTTATGATAGCCGTTGTACGTTAACATTAATAATTGTATTGTAAAAGTTTCGAAATAAATTGAGTTTACCATGAACCGGTGAAACATTAGTATAATTATCCATTCTAAATGCACGGACTAGAGTTCGAGTACTCAAAGATAGTCTTTCAGAAATATTATCTAATATTGCCTCTTCCAGACGCACAGTCCTTATTGTTCGTGGCTTTCGAGCATTATTTCTTTTAATTAACAAGTTTCCAGTTTCTTTCAATATTTTCCAATATAGAATTTGACGATTGATGAAGGTTTGTTGGTACAAATCAGCAGTCATTCTACTTTTTTTTGAGCTTCTCCGTAGACCATTAACATATTGGTCAATTCTTCAAATAAAAAATTCATTTTTTAGTCTGAGTAGTTACAATGTATCTAAATATTTGCAAACTTTTGTTTAGAAACAAAGTTCTACAACACCGTTCATTTTAGCTCCATAAAAGATTATTACTTTTTTTACTCAAAATGAACAGAGCATTAAAAAAATTATATTTGTTCGTGGCGTAAAATTAGTTTATCCCCTTATTTGACAGTTCGAACAACTATTGCAATTTTGTTATTGTAATACATTTGTTTGAATTTTGATAGGTTTTTATTAAACTGCTGCAACTGGTCTCAGATATTAAGCCCATAAATAGCATGTTGTATTTATTTTTCAACTATTTACTCTTAGACATTATTCAAAATCGAATTAATAGTATGGACTAAAGCAAATATTTGTTTAGCAGAAGGCCTACGGGAAAATATTTGTTGCAGTGGCGTAAAAAAATAGGGGGATAAAAGTTACTGGTGATATTTTTCAAAAATTAGTTAGTTAAAATATTAATTTTTTAAAGAGCATATTGGCCACCAAATTTGAAAAAACATTTGAAGGCGTTTTTGATTTATGGCAAATTTTAAATTTTAACACCCTGTACCTCGGCAACTAAGCCCTTTAAGGGTTCATGTTTCTATATCAAAATTCGTCAATTAACGAAAGCTCCCTATATTTACCAAAAAAATCATAAATTTTAATAAAACTATATTAAATCAATTTTATTTATAAGTATTAATACTAAAAAGTTAGGTGTCTCGATAGAGCCGAGGGTAGCGTCACAGTTTATAAACAACTAGCTTTTCCCCACGGCTTTGCACGCGTGGTGTCGTATTTATAATTTAAAAAATGAATGATGATTATTTTTAGTAACCTTTATTAATTTTTAATAATTTTTATTAATTTTTATTAATTATTAATTTTTAATTATTTTTATTAAATTCTAATAATTTTTATTATTTTTTATTAATTTTAACTAATTTTTATTTATTTTTAATAATAATTTTAAATTATTTTTATTTATTTTTCCTCCTTAAAATGTGAAAATACAATAACCTTGAAATACGTCATTATTTGCTACACAATTCAAATTTTCAAATTTCTACAATTAAAAAACTGAAAGTCTTATTCAAACTTTTACCTTCCGTTTCCTGTCTTAATATGTAAAGTCCAAATACTTTGAATATTTATTTATGAAGAGTACCTACAATTCCAATTTTCAAGTTCCTACAATACAAACTTTCACTTCCCACACATTTCCCCAATTTTCTTTCTTTCCCTTATTTCCCCTCTTGTGATAAGTTGTTATAATTCCAATTTTCAAGTTCCCATCTATAAAAAAATCGATGCTTCCATGCAAACTTTTAACCCCGTTTCCCCCCCCCCTTAAAGTATGAAAACCGAAAACCCTGAAACATGTTGTTATTTATTTATTTATGCTCAATAGCAGTATTTTAAATTTTCATGTTTCACTACAACTATGCAAAAAATTATGTCCGATCCCTTGCTCTGTGAAAAACAAAAACAACCCAGGCAGCACACATTAGTATAACTAACGTATTTTATACGTAATACTCGTTTAATTTTGGTATTGGTTGATTCCGTATACGTTTACAGTTTACGATTATTATACATACCGTGTTTTAAACGATATATTATACGTTTTTTGTATACATCCTATGGTATATAATTGTAAATTTTTCTACGTTTGTTAATAGTTAACAATATACGACTATTTTTAGTTTGCGATGAACTATTTATATACAGTGGGCCTAAATATACGTTTAGGTTTATTTAAATTAAATTCGTATAAATTTACATTATATTACAATATGTTTTCTTCGTTTATACTTCCCGTTTAAATTTCGTCTTGGTTGATTTTTTAAACGTTTACCATCTACCATTTTTATACTTAACGTTTTTAACAATTAAATTAAACGCTTTTGTTTGTCGATACTAGTTAATATACCTATATTATTCTACGTTTAAATATAAGTCACCTTAAACGCATAATACCAGTTTACGATGAACTAGTATACAGAAGTATATGTATACATTTAGGTTTATTTAAATTAAAAGCTTATAGATATA